CTAGTTCCACAGTTTGTTCTCTCAGCGTTCAGATCGAGTTCTTGGGTGTTTGGAATGATTTGATATTTATCTAGCTGTGTTGGAGGGATGGAAGCAAGCATAGGGACCCCTTACGCCAGCTTAACTCCTCCTCTAGTGTCATCTTTTTTTTGTTCATTTTTCACCGAATTGCTTTTTGGTCAGAGGATGTGGTCTGGGCGGTGGCGATTCTGTAGTTTTTGGTGAGATGCTTTGCTCCGTAGTACACGGCCAGTGTTGTTTTTAAATTCCATATGGACCTGAGAAACCTGTGCGTTTCAAACCTGTGTGCAGTTGCCATATATGTCTACTTAGGTCAAGTTTCTTTCTTTTTTTTTTTTTAAGGTTTTATTTATTTGACAGAGATCGATAGTGAGAGAAGGAACACAAGCAGGGGGAGAGGGAGAGGGAGAAGCAGGCTTCCCGCTGAGCAGAGAGCCCGATGCGGGGCTCGATTGCAGGACCCTGGAATCACGACCTGAGCCGAAGGCAGACGCTTAACGACTGAGCCACCCAGGCACCCCTAGGTCAAGTTTCTTAATGGCGTTTTGCATGTCTTACTAGTTTGGGGTCTCCTGAATCTATCAATTACTAGGAAGGGGTATACTAAAAAATCTCCCACTATGGAGTAAATGTATCCATATCTCCTTGAAATTAAGTTAGATCTTTGCCTTGCTCATTTCAAGGCACAGTCCTGTAACCCCTTCACAGTGTGAGACATTGTTGGAATGAAGCTATAAAGTCATTTTTTTCTTAATAATTGGGAGCAGGACAATATTTCTAGCCAAGTCTGCAGCTTTCCAGACCATTCTCAGGTATTAATGGAGTCTTTTCTAGTCCTTACAAAGGCTCAGACAGGTTTAATACTAAAGTCATGAGTCTATCATCTGATTTTCAACTTCTCTCTGGCCAACTCAGCCTGACTCAGCCTCACATGAATGCAGGAGGGAGGGAGGCTAAGACGTGATCAACTCTCCTCCTTTCTCCACCTTAGTCAGCCCCCTTCTCTCCTGTTCTCTGTTCCTTGCTCTACCCCCTGCCTATTTTTTTTTTTTTAAAGATTTTCTCTATTTATTTGTCAGAGAGAGAGAGCACAAGCAGGGGGAGTGGGAGGCAGAGGGAGAAACAGGCTCCCTGCTGAGCAAGGAGCCCAGTGCGGAACCCCATCCCAGGACCCTGGGATCATGACCTGAGCCAAAGGCAGACACTTAACCGAATGAGCCACCCAGGCACCTCCCCCACCGCACCTGCCTATTCTTTTTTATTTTTCCTTTATTTATTTATTTATTTATTTATTTATTTATTTATTTATTTATTTATTTATTTATTTATTCTTATGTTAATCCCCATACATTACATCATTAGTTTTAGATGAAGTGTTCCATGATTCATTGTTTGTGCATAACACCCAGTGCTCCATGCAGAACGTGCCCTCCTCAATACCCACCACCAGGCTAACCCATCCTCCCACCCCCCTCCCCTCTAGAACCCTGTTTGTTTTTCAGAGTCCATCGTCTCTCATGGTTCGTCTACCCCTCCAATTTCCCCCGCTTCATTCTTCCCCTCCCGCTACCTTCTTCTTCTTTTTTTTTTTTCTTAACATATATTGCATTATTTGTTTCAGAGGTACAGATCTGAGATTCAACAGTCTTGCACAATTCACAGCGCTTACCAGAGCACATACCCTCCCCAGTGTCTATCACCCAGTCACCCCATCCCTCCCACCCCACCCCCCACTCCAGCAACCCTCAGTTTCCTGCAATTAAGAATTCCTCATATCAGTGAGATCATATGATACATGTCTTTCTCTGTTTGACTTATTTCACTCAACATAATACCCTCCAGTTCCTGCCTATTCTTTATCATCATCATCATCACTATCCTGATCATCTTGTTTTTTCCCTTTGTTTCCCATTTCTTTGTTTGTTTGTTTGTTTCCCATTTCTTAATTTTTTCATCATTATAACCGTATTTATTTCAGAATCTCTACTAATTTATTTTCTGAACGCAATGCAAGTCTGATTTCACTCATGGTGGATTGCTCCCTCATCAGTGTTATAATTTTGGTTTGTGAGCCCATCTTTAGTAAGGTCTTTCAGTATAAAGTTTCTATTAGTAAGCATATTTTCTTGTGATTTCTGGAATTACAGTTATAAAGATAATCCTGTAATTTGGCATGGATTTTTAAAAATAGCATCTCTTTAAATCGTCAACATCTATTTCTTTATAACTCATCACCCCTAAAAACCTCATGTAAAAGAATTCTCAGGGAAAAGTGGGCAAAATGCACTTTGTATCAAAGTGTAAAGTGTATCTTCCAAAAGTACAGCTATAAAAGTCTCAAGTATATTCAGGGATCAGATGCCTTCAAGATTCATGATGGTCAGTGTGAAATGGGAATTCACAATGAGAATATGCCTTACGGTTTGTAATTGGCTTGACAGTCAATGCTGTGCCCTCAAACCAGCACCCATCTGCTACAGTGAGGTCAGCACCCTTGCCCCAGCTGTTGTCCCTTTACTGGAGCTTTAAAGGCCAGGGAAAGTCATGGGCGGGGGGGGGGGGGGGGGTTGCGGGGCAGGGGTGGTACAAGGAGCTTTGATTTGCCTCTCTGAAGTGCCCCAAGAGTCTCACTGCCTAAAATGCTTTTTATGTTAATTTTTGGTTCTGGAATCCCTACATCAAGCAGGTAATTTAAATGTGAAAGACAAACCATTGAGAAGTACAAAGTCAAGGTTAAAATTCTCAAGGGAGCCTTGGCTAGATCTGACACAATTCCTTGTCACCTTCTTCTGCCACACGTTGGAGTTTTTCCAGTTCACCCTTTTGTTGTGGATGAACCCTTCATATTGTGGCCCAACTCCTAACTTCACCAGATTGAGTGTTTGTCTCCTCTACTCGCATGGATTTCAAAACCCACGCACCTAGATCATGAGACCCTCGACTTCCCAGAGTGCCCACACTGTCCACTCTTCATCACTCTTGTTTTCACTTCTGTTTTTGGCCCCTAAGGATAGCTCTCATGTCCTTGAGAATTCTGCCATCCTCGAAGGATACTATTGGCATTTTAGATGGCATTTCTAGGTATTTGCACTCTGAGGTTTTAGATTTTTTTAATCCCCCATGGATTACCTGGAGCAGAGGAGAGACTCATTTTCCTGATAAAGGTTCCCAATTTCAACATGTGTGCTCGTGCACTCTGGGAGGGGTTTCCCATGACACCAAGCAATTCTTGGGCACCTGCCAGGCATCCTGTATTTCAACTCAATTCTGACACTATCTTCCTAGAAGTAACATCAGATCCTACAGGTTTAGGGCTCATTCCTGCAAGACTGCCCCCCACTTCCACCCAGTTGTGTTGTGGGCTTGTTGAACACAACCATCAAGAAAGAATTCTTGAGGGCACCTGGGTGGCCAGTCGTTAAGCATCTGCCTTCGGCTCAGGTCACGATCCCAGAGTCCTGGGATCGAGCCCCGCATCGGGCTCCCTGCTCTGCGGGAAGCCTGCTTCTCCCTCTCCCGCTCCCCCTGCTTGTGTTCCTGCTCTCGCTCTCTCTCTCTCTGTCAAATAAATAAAATCTTTAAAAAAGAAAAAAGAAAGAATTCTTGAGTTATTGTATGGTACAACTTAGTAAGTTTATTTAAGTAGCACAGGACAGGACCTGTGGGCAGAAAGGGCTGCACTTTTGCTATATGAAGCTGGTGGTTATATGCTTAGTGTTCAAGGGGGAGGGGACGTGCAGGGGGCATGAGATCATAAATATTTCTTTGAATTTCTACTTGTAAAACTACTTTTGCAAGATTTCTCTGGTGCTTATCATTCAGTTCCATATTAACCATCTTTGAAATATCCAGGCAGTCACGAGACCCTTTAAGAATGTAGCAACCAGGGGGCATGAGTGGCTCAGTTGATTAAGCTCTTAGCTCAGGTCTTGATCTCAGGTTGTAAGTACAAGCCCCACGTTGGGCTCCATGTTGGGCATGGAGCTTACTTAAAAAAAAAAAAAGAATGTAGCAACCAGTACATATTTGATCCTTACCAAAACTATGCAGGCTAGGTCAGCCTCCTGGGCTAAAGGTGGACATTTTTCTGTTTCTGTCCCTCATCAGTGGCCAGTCCAGGCTATCACCTGAGCTTCTGACCAACCCTTATAGGTTGGAGGTTCCGATGACCCCTCCCACCTCCCCAAGCCTTGGGTTTGATTAGTTTGCTAAGGGTGGCTCATGGAATTCAGAGAAACATTTTACTTACTAGATTACCAGTTTCTAATAAAAGAATATAACTCGGGAAGAGCCAGATGGAAAAGATGCACAGGGCAAGGTTTGGGGAAAAGCATGGAGCTTCTCTGCTATCCCCAAATCTCCACTGGTTCGCCAACCCAGAAGCTCTCCAAACCTTCTCCTTTGGGGTTTTTATGGAGGCTTCATCATGTTTGAGACAATCATTGGTCATTGGTGATTGAACTTGATCTGCATATCCCTGGAGATGGCAGGGGAGCTGGAAGTTGGCAATCAACCCACATCTTCAGGTTGGATCCCAAAGTCACCTGATTAACATAACAAAAGACACCTTTATCACTCTGTTTGCTTAAAAATTCCCATAGTTCTAAGAACTCATGCCAGATATGGAGATGAAGACCAAATATATATTTCTTATTGTGAATCACAATATCACAGCTTATATTGTGGCCCATTACTAAAAACTCCCTATGTATGTCCACCTCCCCTACTGCGTAAGTAAAGATCATCATGGAAGGACCCATCTTTATATCTCCCCTTTCCTGTAGGTGCCAGCATAGTGCATGCAGGTGTGAAGTCTTCACAAATAATTATCCCTGGCTTTCATTCAATTAAAAGTCCCCCCAAAATTTTAATAGTGGTCAGAGGCATTCATGTAGGACTCATTTTAACCACTAAAATAATCTGGTTTGGTATGATTAATAATACTACATTTAGCTTTTTTTCTCTCCTTTACCTAATAGGCCAAAAAATTTGCAACTTACGTGGTTGCTGCCGGACTTCAGTATGGAGTAGAAGGAGGCATCTTACATTATTTTTTTAAGGTATGACTTTTTAGTGACTACGAGATAAGAACCAAATTAGCCAGTACACATAAAGGATTTCAGATGTTGCAAATTATATGGACAACAGAACAGAGCAACAAAACAGAGAAAGATAGAAAGAAAGCCAGCAGTAGGGTTGGGAGGTTGTATCTTGAATATGATGGTCAGGGAAGGCCTTTCCCAAGATATGACACTTGAGCAGAAAGTGACAAGGGAGCTGGCTACTTTGCTTTCTGGGGGAAAGTCAGTAGGAACTGTAAGTGCAAAGACCTGAGGCAGAAATGTGTAGGTTGTGTTAAGGAACAGCAAACAGACGAGTGTAGCCAAAATACAGGAGAATAGTAGGCAATGAAGTTCATTTGTCCTTGTCTGTTCTCAGCTGCTCCTCACCTACCTGACCATTGAATGTTGGCTTTCTCAGGTTTCTGCCCCAGACCTTCTTGCCCCCCCCCTTTTTTTTTTAAGATTTATTTATTTATTTGAGAGAGAGAGAGAGAGTGCACAAGTGGGAGGGGCAGAGGGAGAGGGAGAAAGAGAATCTCAAGCGGACTCTGCACTCAGTGCGGAGGCCAACACAGGGCTCCAGCTCACAACCCTGAGATGATGAGTTGAAACCAAGAGTCTGGACGCTTAAATGACTTTGCCACCCAGGCGCCCCCCTCCTGTCTTCTCAATCTACACTCTTTTCCTGGGTTGGTCTGTCCATTCCCATGACTGGTGCCAATGACTCTCAAATATCAGTTTCTCCAGCAGGGCTCGCTCCTGAGTCCTAGCTTTGTGAATCTGGCTGCCTATTCAGCACCTTCACTTTGAATGTTTCACAAACCCAAACTCTACCTATAGTCACCCCCAAACCTGCTGTTCCTCCAGGACCCCATCTCAGAAAATGGGACCTTCTTCTACCCAGCTGCACCAACCAGCATCCAACTCCTTGCTCTTTCTCATCTGCCACAAAATCCCCACAGTAATAACAGAGCCAACCTCCTCAGTATCTCCTTCTCTCCAACCCCACTCTCCCAGCAGCTCCCCCACCCCCCACACAAGCTATAGGACATCTCTAGTCCACACAACTGGCCTGGCCTCCACCTCCCCATTTAGGCTCTTACTTTCCATCATTCCTTCATGAGGCAACAAAAGCAAATCTAATGATGTCACTTCACTGCTTAAAACCCTTCAATGGTTTCCCAAAGCCCAAAATATCTTACAAGATCCAGCGGTCTGCTGTGGCCCCCACCCCTACCTCTTTCACTCTTAAAAAGCAGTTTAAAATAATCTAGTACCTGACAGCTAAACACTATCCAGATTGTCTTTTTCTTTACTGAAATACTTAAATGCAGGGAAAAGACAAGGGTTTGGACTCTGAAGATCAGGGTTCAAATCCAGGCTCAGCAACTCATCAGCCACTTTATCTACTAAGCATTTCATCTTTGAACTGATAGCAATTACTCCAGCCCATGGGAGTAATTTTAGACTTTCATTCTCATTTTTTTCTTTTTGTGAGATTGGAAGGTGTCATGTATGTGAAAGCATTTCCCTTCTGTGTAGACACCATGCCAATGACGACTGAAGACAGTGCACGAGATTGTAGATTTCCTGAAAAGTATTTCAGCCTGAGGTTAGTTTCTCTTAATAGGCTTTGATCAGCAACTAAATCTCATCAGAGCTGATTTTCAAAACATCCCCTTTAGGCGATGACATCATCAGACAGCTGGGTCTTTTGGATGCCCCAGACTAGGGCTGTGTGTGAGCTCTAATAGTTACATACAGCCAGCGGAAAATACGCTTTTCCTTTTCTTCCAGATAGCTTGGTTGGGTGAGGTCCCTGCATTACCCGTGTTTGGAGATGGAACAAATGTAATTCCAGCAATTCATGTTCTTGACCTAGCAGGGTAAGTGTTCTCCTAGAGCTAGGACTTCCCCGGAAGTAATTGACTAATGTGTTTGTGTTTAAGCGACCACTTAGTGAGCACTCACCAAGCGCTAAGACCCTTACGTGTGTCACTGTATTCGTTCTTCACAACCACCCTATGCACAAGGTCTACTTATTATCTCTGTTTTGTGTCTGGTGGCATAGTTCCACCATCTAAAAATGCCAGGAAAGCCCATAGCACAGTCTTCATCCAAAGGTAGGCTCTCCGAAATGTCGGGAGTCATGATTCCCCCGGGGTAGGAAATTGTAGTCCCCATACCGCTTCTTACTGCCCAGTGGTTCCCCTAAGAGAGGCACGGCTTCTCCGGATCTGTGTCTGACTCTGTGAACGCCCCTCCCCAAAGCACTGTTGAGAGATTCACAGGAGCGCCAGGTGAGTGGACTTCATGAACCGAAGTCCTGCCCCGGGGGGTCAGGTGCTCCTCGCAACGCACTGGGTGAAGCTGGAGCTGGATGGATCGGCCTTGAAGTCCTGGCCTTTCCACTTTCCCCAGTGGCTCTTCAGCCCGAGATGCGTTCCTTGACCATCCCAGCTTCCCCGTCTGTAGAGATCATCGTCCCACCCCCGACCATGTTGGAAATGAAGTGAGATACTGCCTGGCTCCCCGGGGCGGTGGTCGGTGGACTCTCCTTGACTCCATCTCTTTTGCTTTCTCCCCCTGGTGGTGGTTTTTCCTGGTGGGCTGCAGAGTGATACAAAACATCATAGACCACGTGCCGAAGCTTCATTACCTGGTTGCAGTGGATGAGTCTGTTCATACCCTGGAAGACTTGGTCAAGGTACAGCCGTTCCATCCTGTATTTGATTGCATTTCTTAAACTGTTTTAGCCCCCAAAGTATAGCAATGGAATCAGGTGTGCTAAGGCTGGGGACTCCGCAAATCGAATATCCTGAAAACCAAAGTCACTATCCGCTTCTGCAGTGTATGTGTTGGGAAATTTACAATCAAGATGTCCTTTATCTGGTCTGTTCACGGAACAAGTGGGAGAGGCCGCTGTGGGGCCAAGACACACACGAATCCCACAGGGGGGTTACTAAAACGTGTCCTTGCCCCAAAGTACTGATATGGTCAGTTTCCCTAAACCTACTGGCGGCTTCCAGGGGCTCTAGGTTTGTGGGGGCTGTCTCTCCAGTCCAGGCCACTTGTCACCTTGTAGCCCAGCTAGCTCAGCGAGTGTAGCCTTCCCCTACTCATCTTTTAACATTCAGCTCAGGGGCACCTGGGTGGCTCAGTCGTTAAGCGTCTGCCTTTGGCTCAGGGCATGATCTCAGGGTGCTGGGATAAAGCCCCACATCTGGCTCCCTGCTCAGCGGGAGCCGCCTCCTCCCTCTCCCACTCCCCCTGCTTGCGTTCTTTCTCTTACTGTGTCTCTGGCTGTCAAATAAATAAATAAAATCTTTAAAAAAAAACAAAAACGGGCGCCTGGGTGGCTGAGTCGGTTAAGCGACTGCCTTCGGCTCAGGTCATGATCCTGGAGTCCCGGGATCGAGTCCCGCATCGGGCTCCCTGCTCGGCGGGGAGTCTGCTTCTCCCTCTAACCCTCCTCCCTCTCATGCTCTCTGTCTCTCATTCTCTCTGTCTCTCAAATAAATAAATAAAATCTTTAAACAAACAAACAAAACCCCAAAACATTCAGCTCAGATTTCATCCTCCGGAAGACCTCTCTGCCTCCTTCCCACCTCCCGCATGGGCCAGGCGCCTCTTTCCCCAGCACCCCCTCTGCAGGTGATCCGCACAATCATCTGTGTACTGCTGCCTCCCCTTCAGACTGGGAGCCCCCTGAGGGCAGGTCCTGCCTTACTCATCTCTGTCTCCAGTCTCTGGTGTGCAGTGGTGAATGTTGAATATTTGCAAAACAAATGAATCAATGAATACCCTCAGGGCACCCGCCCTTTACAAAAAAAAAGAAAGAAAGAAAAAGAAAAAATTATTGGGTGCCTGGGTGGCTGAGTTGTTGGGCATCTGCCTTCGGCTCAGGTCATGATCCTGGGGTCCCGGGATCGAGTCCCGCATCGGGCTCCCTGCTCGGCGGGCAGCCTGCTTCTCCCTCTCCCACTCCCCCTGCTTGTGTTCCTGCTCTTGCTATCTCTCTGTCAAATAAATAAATAAAATCTTAAAAAAAAAATTTATTCATTTATATTGACATTCATTTAAGACATTTGTATTAAAATCTTACAAGCAAACCAAATAGTATTTCTATTTTCCTCTAACAGTGCATCAGTAAAAATACTGGCCCTGGGAAAATCCAGAAAATACCCAGAGAAAATGCTTTCCTAACCAAGGACTTAACAGTGAGTAGTAAGAGATTCTTTTCCTAAATGTATTGGTTCTTGAGGGATTTGGGGTCCGAAATCCTGGCTTCCAGTTTTATCTTTGCTCCTCCTGCACAGCTAAACCTTTTACCCTAAAGCAATTTCCTCTTGTCTTCTGAGAGCTTCTGTTTTCTTTTCTGAAAAACCCTCAGAGGTCCTGGTCAGAAAACGTACTTGAAAACTGTTTGATACGTAAATGCTTTACAGACACTGGATGTCCCTCTCTTTGGCCTCTTTGTATAATTCACACAGGAACCCGGGATTTCTGATTTCATTGCAACAGAAACCTACCCAGCTTTAGTCAGCAGTGTGCCCTTTGAGCTTGCTTTAGGACACAATTTTTTAAATTATTTTTTTTATTATTATTAGGAATAAATTGCATCAAAACACTACGTTTGAGAATTTTCTGGAAGGACTGGTATCACTGGTTGCCTCTGGGGAACAGAGCCGAGTGGGTGGTGATGGGGGTCGAAGAGAACTCTTTCCTCTATACTTTTTCTTTTGGATTTTGAGCCAAGGGATTGCACTATTCAAAGAACAGATACAGTTACAATTTGCAAAAAAAGAAACCTTACACTGGGACTTCCAGCATCCCCCTGCTCTGAGCTGCTTGTCTAAGAGCCAGATGCTGCCTGTCCAGAGCGCAGAGGTGGGAAGAGCTTAGAATTCTCACGGAAGACCACAGGGGGCGCTCTGTCAACACCGAGTGCCACCGTTGATTGACTTCCATGTTTTGTGACTGTATATTTTTTTCTTTAATCACAGTGATTTTGGTCTGTTGTAACTGTCAAAGTGAAAGAAAAGTCAAGTCAAATTTCTAATATTCCTTTATCTCTTAGCAAGAGTGCCTTGACCATTTACTGGTCAATTTGAGAATGGAAGCACTTTTTGTGAAGGAGAATTTTAACATTCGATGGAGTGCCCAAACAGGATTTGTGGAAAATATCAACAATATCCTCAAAGAGTACAAGCAAAGCAGAGGACTATTGGTAACTATAACAATTTTCCTGTTTTGATAGCCTGTTTCAATTCAACTGTAACAATTTCCTGTTTCCTGTTTTAAATTGGGATTTAAGCAAAGTAAATGAAACTTTTAGTATAATCACATGAGTGAAAATATTTTCTTTTTCAAATGTCCCAATTTCTTTTTTTTTAAATCAAAGCAGTTTTATTTGTTTGGTTTTTTTTTAAGATTTTATTTATTTATTTGAGAGAGAGAGAATGAGAGACAGATAGCAAGAGAGGGAAGGGGGTCAGAGGGAGAAGCAGACACCCAGCTGAGCAGGGAGCCCGATGCGGGACTCGATCCCAGGACTCCAGGATCATGACCTGAGCTGAAGGCAGTCGCTTAACCAACTGAGCCACCCAGGTGCCCCAAATGTCCCAATTTCTAAAATCAAGTTCTTTTTAAAATTTGATCCATTTGTTCATGTCTAACAATGTATGTATATATTATATTAATGTCAACCAAATATTAAACATTTTAAAGTTAATACAGATAATGACTGTTATGCTTGACACAAATTGAACATGATAGTAAGTTCAAAACTGACTGCCACAGCACTGTCTATATACGGAAAAGTAGCAAGTGCATCCTGGCCTGACTGTTTCAGCTCTGGTTACCTACAGGAGACCGTTGGTGGGAGGTGGAAAGGAGAAGACTGATTGTTACTTTGGTTTTTTTTTTTTTTAAGATTTTATTTATTTGACAGAGAGAGCACAAGCAGAGGGAACAGCAAGCAGAGGGAGAGGGAGAAGCAGGCTCCCCGCTGAGCAGGGAGCCCGATGTGGGACTCGATCCCAGGACCCTGGGATCACGACCCGAGCTGAAGGCAGCCGCTTAACCGACTGAGCCACCCAGGCGTCCCCTGATTGTTACTTTGATCTCTTCCTGTTGGCCAGGGGATTCACTGGTCATTTATCATCAAACTCGTCAAAGTAGACGTGCTTATCTCCACATTATAGATGATGAAACCGAGGCTCAGAGAGGTTAAGCAATTTCTTCAAGGTCACACAGCTAATCAGAGATTCGAACTAGCTGGGATGCAGACTTAGCTAGAACAGCCTAACTTCAGTGTCCCCACACCTCCCTCGCTGAAATCAGCTATATGTAGCCCTTGCCCAGCTCCTTGATTTACCCCAGGGAAGCATCCAGGATAGTGGGTAATACATTAAACATGTGTTGAAAACTGTCGGGTAGCCTATAAGAAACAGGTGCCATCCTAAACATAGCTACCACTGTGCATGGGAGACTCCATACAAGCAAGAACAGTATCATCATTGTGTCCTAAGAACCATATTCTCCTGAAAAACATGCCTAGTTAAGAGTAAGTAGGAGAGGGGTGCCTGGGTGGCTCAGTCGTTAAGCGTCTGCCTTCGGCTGGGGTCATGATCCCAGGATCCTGGGATCGAGCCCCGCATCGGGCTCCCTGCTCCGCGGGAAGCCTGCTTCTCCCTCTCCCTCTCCCCCTGCTTGTGTTCCCTCTCTCGCTGTGTCTCTGTCAAATAAATAAATAAATAAATAAATAAATAAATAAATAAATAAATAAATAAATAATCTTTAAAAAAAAAAAAAAGAGTAAGTACGAGATGTGCCTCTCAGCAAAGGAAACAGTGATGTCTTTAGCATCCGAAATACCCATCTTAAGTACTTGGAGCCTATCCTGAGACACACAAGACCCAACTCAAGTGGTGAGACTAGTGTTGTCCTCTGTGGGTCCAAATGGAAAACAACACAGTTAGGGTACAAGGACATGACACCTTAAAGAAATAACATGGTTCCCGATTAGCAACACTGGACAGAACATGATAGAGGGAATAAGCATCTCTAAAAAAAATTTTTTTTAAAGATTTTATTTATTTATTTGAGACAGAGAGAGAGAGAGAGCACAAGCAGGGGGAGGGGGCAGAGGGAGAGGGAGAAGCAGACTCCCCACTGAGCAGGACCCTGGGATCATGACCTGAATCGAAGGCAGACGGTTAACTGATGAGCCACCCAGGCGCCCCAAGCATCTCTAAAAACTGAAGAGTCTATCCATCCCTGGGGACGTTGGTCAGCGTAGATGCATAGGACAGAAACTACCCAGGATAAGGCAGACTGTGCCATACCAGTGACATCCCAAAACATGGAGTCTTAAGCCAAGGGCTTCCATGATTCCGGTCCCCTTAGCAAGGCAAGGTGGTCCCTGCTGCAGACAGATGCATCAAGCTACCGTGACCGGATGCCACTAAATAGCCCATTCCTCTAACTCTTCATGTTCCAAATGATGCTCATCAACAACCCTCCATGCCTGCCTACTCTGAGGGAACAAATGTACCAGACAAGTGCACTTGGAGTTCGGAGTTCAGGGGTAGTCAGACTTCTCAGTATTAAGTGAATAAACTGCCGTTCTGGTTTCTCACCTGGCTGAGGTGTGCCTACCCCAAGAGACAGATCTGCCATCGGTGTGTGGACAAAATGGTGCTCGTGAACATGCTCAGTTGAGAGCTGGACCTCAGGCCATGGTGAATGCACCAGGCCCACCCAGGAGCACAGCCCTGCCCATCAAGACTCTGCTTGAGCTGCTTTTTCCGACACCCTTCCACCGCACGCCATCTTGGTCATCACCATTGTCCCGAAAGGATCCCTCACCAGATAAGACCAGTCATGTTCACCGTCCTCACCCAGCCCCCCTGCAATGTCCCTGTTTATTTCCTTCACAGCCGTGGTCTCCTCGTCTGTCAAATGGTAGTAATAATAACCACAACCAACTTGGTGGCTGAAATTATATGACCTTTAAGCACATGGACACTCTGCCAATGGAAATTCTTCCCATCAGCCTGATTTTGGTTATTAATATGCCTTACAAAATACGAGGCTTCAGTTCCACAACTGTTTGGATCATTTTGCAAGAAATGACTGCTACTGATATTTTGAATTCTGTTGGAAATAAACATTTACTCCCTGGTTACAAATGTCAGTTTCTGGAGCATTCAAGCAAGTTTTGGCAGAAGAAATGGTGGGGCTTTTTTTTTTTTTTTTTTTTGATGAGTATATTTTTAAAAACTAGAATAAATTAACTGTGCTAAAAAGTAAAGTATGATTAAAAACCCAGTCAGTCCAGAAACAATATTCATGAGGCAATAATCTAAGCCCCCGCACACTGGACCAGAAATTCTGTCTTTGTTGTCTTTGTAAGAGTAATATGACTCATATGTGGAATTTAAGAAACAAAACAGATGAACGTTGGGGAAGGGAAGGAAAAATAAAATAAGATGAAATCAGAAGGGGAGAAAAACCATAAGAGGCTCTTAACTCTAGAAAACAAACTGAGGGTTGCTGGAGGGGAGGTAGGTCGGGGGATGGGGTACCTGGGTGATGGGCATTAGGAGGACATGGGATGAAATGAGTACTGGTGTTCTATGCAACTGATGAATCACTGAACTCTACCTCTGAAGCTAATAATACAGTATATGTTAACTAAATTGAATTTTAAGTAAAAATTTTTAAAAAGAAGTAATATAGTAGTGTGTAATGCTCAAGTACTTTGTTCTTTAGTACTTTTAATACTTTTGTGTAATGCTTGAGTACTCTAGTACTTCAGTACTTCAGTACACTATATGTTAATTAAATTGAAAATTGATTTTTAAATAAAAAATTTTTTATAAAGAGTAACATGGTAGTGTGTAATGCTCAAGTACTTTGTTCTTTAGTACTTTTTAGTACTTTGTTTTTAGTACTTTTAGTACTTTGTTCTTTTAGTACTTCTAGTATGTCCAGAGCACATCTCATTGAGCGTTGTGTCCCCCATGGTTGGTCGGTGCACATAGTAGATGCTCAATAAGTCCCTGCTGAACGAATGAACAGGAAGGGCCACTCCCTGATTGGGGAGCAGTGCTGCGAGGACGATGTGGCACTGACCACAGAGGCCGGCCATGGAGGAAGTGACTCTAGAGACTTGACAGAGGAGAGTTAGCCTGCAGGACCCCGAGATGTTCAGGAAAGGCACCCCCTGACATGAAAAACACTCTGTCGAGCTACAGCTTGTTCACCACTCACTGGATGGTCCTTGTTCTCCTTTTGCAGCCGATCAAGATCTGCATTCTGGGTCCTCCTGCTGTGGGAAAATCCAGTATTGCCGAAGCCTTGTCTAAGTATTACAAGTTGCATCACATTAAATTGAAGGATGTTATTTCCGAAGCCATAGCGAAACTGGTAATATTTCTACTACTTCACTGGGAATTTTTACATCCTAAAAATGCTTTTCTTAGTCTTGTAACAAGGAAGCCACTAATTTTACGTGGCATCCTGCAAAGAGATTTGTTATTTTAATTGGATTTTGTTTTTGGCCCTAGTTATGAAAACAGAGCATCCCACAGGACGTTCCTCTGTGAGATGGAAGCATCTTTCATGGGGTGCCCTTGAAATTTAGTCTGTCTCCAGCTGTTGCTAAAAAATGTATCTTGTATGTTGACTGGAACATTTTTAGGGTTTTTTTCTGTTTTTGTTTTTTGTTTTTTAAGTAGGCTTCATGGCCAGCATGGAGTCCAACGTGGGGTCTGGACTCACCACCCTGAGATCAAGACCTGAGCTGAGATCAAAAGTCGGATGCTTAACTGACTGAACCACCCGGGCACCCCAATTTTTTTTTAGATTTTTTTATTCTTGATGTGTGTTTCTCAGAGTATTATCAGACTATTTATTAACTGCTTTAAAAGAAAGAGACTATTGGGTGCCTTCATGGCTCAGTTGGTTAAGCTTCCGACTCTTGATTTTGGCTCAGGTCATGATCTTGGGGTCATGAGATCAAGCCCCTCACTGGGTTCCACATTGGGTATGGAGCCTGCTTAAGATTCTCTCTCTTGGGTGCCTGGGTGGCTCAGTTGGTTAAGCGACTGCCTTCGGCTCAGGTCATGATCCTGGAGTCCCGGGATCGAGTCCCGCATCGGGCTCCCTGCTCAGCAGGGAGTCTGCTTCTCCCTCTGACCCTCCCCCCTCTCATGTGCTCTCTCTCTCTCATTCTCTCTCTCAAATAAATAAAATCTTAAAAAAAAAAAAAAAGATTCTCTCTCTCTCTCTCTCTCCCCTTCTGGCCCTCCCCCCTTGCATGCACGCATACACTTCCTCTCTCTCTCTCTCTCAAAAAAAAAGAGAGACTATTTTCTTAGAGCAGTTTTAGGTTCATAGCAAAACTGGGAGGTAGGTACAGAGATTTTCTACTCATCCCCTACCCTTTGCATGCATAAGCTCCTGCATTATCAACACCCCCTCCAGAATGGTTACGTTAGTTACAACTGTTGAACTTATACTGACACTTCATTATCACCCAAAGCCCACTGTTTACTTTAGGGTTGTTCTTGGTGTTACACATCCTATGGGTTTGGACAAATGTATAATGACATGTACTTACCATTATAGTACCTCACGGAGTAGTTTTACTGCCCTAAAAATCCTCTGTGCTCTGCCTATTCATCCCAACCTCCCCTCAGCTAACTGCTTTTTATCATTTTATTGGAAATGGTAGCTACTATGGTATATTTCCTTAAATGATTCCTGAAAGTCTTAATTTCTACAAAATGTGTTTCCTTCAAGTAAGATATCACCTGACACCTAGAAAAGTGTTGATTCTTAAGCAGTTCTGGTGTTAACACAGAAATGGATTCTTCTCCTAAAATAGAGTAAGAAAAACCTCGAGGCTCTCAACCATCTTTGTAGATACACACATCCTGACAACTTGCACAATGACTGTGGGTGAGCGTATTCCCTATTTGGACACCAGCCTTTTCCAGGATCGTGCGCCAGATGATTTTGCGAGTAGCAGATCTGTGCGGGGCGTCATCCAATTTGAATATCCCTGTGGTATGTAGGAGGCGATTGTCACACCTAAGGATGAAGGGGAAGAGGAAGAAGAAGGTGAGGAGGAGGAAGAGGAGGAGAATGTGGAAGATGCACAGGAGCTCTTGGATGGCATCAAAGAAAGCATGGAGCAGAATGCAGGTAGCGTGCCCAGCTCGGGGCTGCTCTTGTTAACAGGCTTTGTTTCCTTGTTATAAAAGACTACTTGTTTACTTCATAAAGTACAGAACATATAACACAGAAATTTCAATCATAATCCCACCCTGGCCTCCCCAGGAGGAAAAAATCACCATTGATATTTGGTGACTATCTGATCATAGGATGGGAAAGAACTCCCTAAGTTAACAATAATAAAAGACCAAGTGTATAGTCATAAATATTTTAGAAGCATCAAAAATCATTAATTAGGGTGCCTGGGTGGCTCAGTTGGTAAGCTTCTGCCTTCGGCTCAGGTCATGATCCTGGGGTCCTGGGATCAATCCCTCATCTGGCTCCTTGCTCAGCAAGGGGTCTGCTTTTCCCTCTACCCCTCCCCCCTGCTCCTGATATCTCTCTCTCTCAAATAAATAAATAAAATCTTAAAATCATTAATTAAAAGGCAAAGGACAAACCAGGAAAAGATATTTGCCACTAACATGATAAAGACGTAATATCCTTAATATATAAAATGCTCAGGCAAACTAGTAAGAAAATCATTAGATCCTTAATAGAAAAAAGTGGATGAATAACATGGAGCCATAATACATTCAGGAAGAAATACAAATAAGTGGAAAAATATCCTTACTCATTGGGTAACTGTAAGCAGTTTGTTGAACAAACTCACTGGGGTGAGGGGTCACAAACTCGGGACCCATTCTCTCCCCTCTCCCGCTTGCACAGAGTTTCAGGCTGGTTCCATTGCAACTCCTAGATAATAAGTAAGTAGTCTCTTTGTTCATGCTTTAAGAAGTCCATGCCAACCAGATAACTGCAAGCTGTTTTGAACTTAGACATTTCCAAGGACCTGGTTACTTGGCAGAAAACCAGTGTAATTATTCGGAAACTAAAACCACTTCATTTTGATTTATGTAGACAGTCGAGATCCTCCACCAAACTGGTTTTACTGGTATCACCTATAGACTAGTCCAACGTGTGAGCACTGGACTCTGATCCAACGGACTTTCTCCCCTCGTCACCCCCTCAAGCACGTTTGGCTTCTTTCACTTACCCCCTGCTCCTCTCCTCTTTGCTGGTGGCTGTTTCTGATCCTCCAGCGTTGGGCTGGGTGGGTGGGAAGTGGGGAAGAAGGACAGAGGCCTAAGCTGGGCCTGGGGACAGATGGCTCCTTCCTGGTGTTGCCCTTCACAGACCCTCCCACTGAGGACCACCCACTGCATTCCTGGGGGCACAACTCTTGACTGCCCTCCCCACCTCTGGTCTTCTAGCACAGAGGCCGTTTGTCCCTCCAGGTGGTCCTCTCGCCAGCCACTCGGCTTCAAGAATTCTAGTGTCTCCATGCCTTCCTCTGAAGGTATCTCTCCCCCACCTCTCCTTGCCCCAGGCCACTCCAGTCTGGTGTTTAGGGGTGGAGAACATGGGCTTGTATGCACACACTGGATGTCCACTTCAAACAGGTAGCTGATTATCTGTGTCTTGGTTTCTGCTTTGGTATGGGCTGGGCCAGGAGGAAATGGAATTTAGAATCCTGGAGATATCCCAGAGGAAAAGGAAGGTACACAGAAAACCCAGTTTATTTTTCGAAAAATTTTTAATTAAAAAATTTTACTTATTTATTATTATTATTTTAAAGTAAGTAGGCTCCACACCCAGCGTCAGGCTTGAACTCACGACCCTGAGATCAAGCATAACACGCTCTCCTGACTGAGCCAGCCAGGTGACCCTTTTTTTTTTTTTTTAACGTCATCCCTGTGTCTGACACGGGGCTCAAACTCACGACCTCGAGATCAAGAGTAGCATCCTCTACTGACTGTAGAAAACCCAGGTTAATACTTTGAGAGAAAACATTGCCCCTGCCTCACCTATGAGATACGTGGGAGCCAGGATGCTGGTTTTAGGGAGACTACCAGCATCCTGGCTCCCACCACTTGGGGAAGGAGAAACAACCCAAGATAAGACATTCCGCTGTGAGGACACCTGGGGAAGGAAATCTGGCAAGGCCACAGGAGAGGGTGGAGGGCTGGGATGGTAAGGAATCTACAGGTGTCCATGGCCCTGGGTGTATACACCGGAAGCCTGAGAGCTAAGGCCAGAGCAGAGCGCTGGGAGTGGAACACCCCCACCCCAAGAGGAGATGGAAGAGCGTCTAGGATTCAGGCTAATGGGATGAGACAAACCCTGGACAATATTTATTGGACAGAGACATGTAATTGGTCTTTGCAAGAACCCAAAAATCGTATCCAAAGTGTGTCACTGCTCTGCTCAAGCTCAAGAAGGGCCTATCCTTGGCAGCCAACTCTGTTCTGCCCCCAAATGTAAAGAGAGGCCACTCTGGGGACACCTGGGTGGCTCAGTCGGTTGAGCGTCTGCCTTCGGCTCAGGTCATGGTCCCCGGGGTCCTGGGATCGAACCCTGCGTCAGGCTCCTTGCTCAGCAGGGAGCCTGCTGCTTCCCCTGCTTGTGCTCTCTCTCTGTCTCTGTCTCTCTCCCTGACAAATAAATAAATACAATCTTAAAAAAAAAGGAAAAAAAAGAGAGGCCACGCTGGGTCAGCAGCCTCTGCCCCGAGGGGCCCTGGAAGGGGACAGAGGAAGTGGCCTGCAGCCTCCCCCCACCCCTTCCTACAAGATTGGAAGAGTTCATTCAGTCCCCTTTAACCTTAGGAAGGTTTTTTGTTGTTGTTGTTTGTTTGTTTGTTTTTCTTCCTCAAGTTTGTCCTCAAATCCTTCCTGTTCGTATTTACCTGAAACTAGAACGTGGACCTTGATTATGTTTGGACAAAGCAAGACCTCTGAGCTCCCTGCACAGACCTACATAGAAATTACACAACCCAAGCGAGGACAGAGGTCAGCTCGCTTTTCCCTCCCATGACCCAATTTGTTAGTAAATAACTCACGATTCCAGCGAAACCAATTTCACAATCGCGCAGTGGGGCACCTCCATGTCCTGAGAATTCCACTCCAGTCGGCCCCTGACAATGCAGCCAAAATGGGGGCTTGGTTAAACCGGAACGCACCAGGTTGCCGATTCTTTGTGCTCACTTTATGTGTTTCAAAAGCCTTGTGGGATTAGTTGAAACTAGTTGGTGGGGGCGCCTGGGTGGCTCAGCTGTTGAGCGTCTGCCTTGGGCTCCGGTCATGGTCCCAGGGTCCTGGGATCGAGCCCCGCATCGGGCTCCCTGCTCGGCGGGAAGCCTGCTTCTCCCTCTCCCTCTCCCCCTGCTTGTGTTCCCTCTCTTGCTGTGTCTCTGTCAAATAAATAAGTAAAATCTTGGGCGCCTGGGTGGCTCAGCCGTTAAGCGTCTGCCTTCGGCTCAGGTCATGGTCCCAGGGTCCTGGGATTGAGCCCCGCACCGGGCTCCCTGCTCAGCGGGGAGTCTGCTTCTCTCCCTCCCTCTGCTTCTCCTCCTGCTCATGCTCTCTCTCTCTATCTCTGTGTCTCGAATGAATAAAAAAAAAAAACTTTTAAAAAAGAAATATTTAATGATCTAAGAGTAGCTTTCCTGGCACTATTAATCACTCTAGTTAAATCAAACTTAGCAAATAAAGCTTCTGGAATAAATATAATCACAAAAGGAATACAGTGATAGCTCCTTTGAGTCAACTGTAACAAGAAAACCTAATTCTACAAAGCTCTAGAAAATTATTTGTTTTAAATTACTAGCTATGTACTAGAAAAGATAATTGTGGAACATTCAATTAAGATAAAAGGATTGGCTTAAATAGAAAAAATTCTGAAAACATAAAGCAGGAACATGTTTAATAATTTAAAAGTTTCGGGGCACCTGGGTGGCTCAGTAGTTAAGCGGCTGCCTTCGGCTCAGGTCATGATCCCAGGGTCCTGGGATCGAGCCCTGCATCAGGCTCTCTGCTCAGCAGGGAGCCTGCTTCTCCCTCTCCCACTCCCCCTGCTTGTGTTCCCTCTCTCGCTGTCTCTCTCTGTCAAATAAATAAATAAAAATCTTTAAAAAAAAAATAAAATAAAATAAAACTAGTTGGTGGAGTTCCAGGTAGTCATTGGACTAGTCTTTCAACTTTTCTGTGAGTTTGAAAATAAAAATTGGGGGCGCCTGGGTGGCTCAGTAGGTTAAGCATCCGCCTTTCGCTCAGGTCATGATCTCAGGGTCCTGGGATTGAGCCCCGAGTGGGGCTCCCTGCTCAGCGGGGAGTCCGCTTCTCCCTCTCCCTCTGCTGCTCCCCCTGCTTGCGCTCTCTCTCTCAAATGAATAAATAAAATCTTTTAAAAAATGAAAATAAAAATTGGGGGGAGGGAGGACGTATGTAACTGTATCAACATCCTAGTGTCTATCCTCTGCATGGATTATTTTGAAACGTTGGATGCACCTATTTTTTGAAACGTGTTTTAGTAATTGTGAATATGGATTCATGTTAGCATTTTAAATATTACTTGAATGTGAAAGATAGACTTAAAAAAAAAAGCAGGTGGTGTTTTGAACGCTGTCCAGTAGAGCTGTGTTCATTCATTGCAAAGTAGAAGTGACAGTCCCCTTCCAAGGAGCCCCACACTGCCAAGGTCATGGGTGTATCTCTAGGAGGTCACAGTTCTCTAGAGAGAGCCATTTGAGCTTGGCCCTTTGTGTACCCACATTCCACAGTTATCAGAAACTGCTGCTCGAGGTCCCTTCTTGCATACTGAACACTGCAGCTCTGCAACAAACAGGAGCGAACGGCAAAGCTGGCTGGCTGAACTCAACCAAGGGATGCATGGAGGGGCCTGAAGCTTGATTTCTGAGCATGTATGTGCCTTTGCCTCAGCAACAGAAACTTTGAAAATCAGAAATAGACTGCTTAGATAAAACTCATCTTCGAATTTTGCTGAATCCCTCGACATTTTATTTGGCTTTATTTCTTTGCACCACAGTAAACCTTACTGAGAAATAATGTCAAATCATTTCGAGGAATTTCATTATGCGAAATAACGCCTTTGATTTTCTTTCTTTCTTTCTTTCTTTTTTTTTTTTTGGTCTCAGCCCTAACATTTAAATTTCTGGAAGATGCAATTAGTTTTGAATCAGTTCCTGCCTAATGAGTTGTGTGGCAATGGGAGGTAGAAGAAAGAAGAGGTGTTTTAATGACATCATTTTATTGTCATTAATACAGTGATTAAAAGACACCAAAAACTCGGATGCCTGGGTGGCTCAGTCAGTTAAGTGTCTGCCTTTGGCTCGGGTCAGGATCCCAGGGTCCTGGGATTGAGGGAGTAGGACTCCTTGCTCAGCTGGGCGTCTGCTTCTCCCTCTCCCCCTGCCTGTGCTCTCTTGCTTTCTCTCTGTCAAATAAATAAATAAAATCTTAAAAAAAAAAAAAAAAGGGGGCGCCTGGGTGGCTCAGTCGTTGGGCGTCTGCCTTCGGCTCAGGTCATGATCCCAGGGTCCTGGGATCGAGCCCCACATCGGGCTCCCTGCTCCAGGGGAAGCCTGCTTCTCCCTCTCCCACTCCCCCTGCTTGTGTTCCTGCTCTCGCTCTCTCTCTCTCTGTCAAATAAATAAATAAAATCTTTAAAAAAAAAAAAAAGATTCCCCCTCTCTAAAACAAAATTAAAAAAAAAGAGAGACCAAAACTATTTTATACCGTAGATCCACGGATAAACTAAAAGTATGGTATGACCCTAGAAAGAGCTTTGTAGATCAATTACTCAAAGTTGCCAAACTCACCATACCGTAATGCACACATTAAGCAACGTAAGGGCAGGGCCGTGTCTCAGAAACGGTAGCTGTTTGATGATTACAATAGAAGAATACATGAGTATCACAGTGAAGCTGCATCATATCGTCCTTTAACCACTATGCCCGTTTTAGATCAGACTCCTCCCTCCTCAGCGATGCCATATGCAACCGCCGGAATCCGGCCTCCAAAGCTGGAGAAGGAACTGTGTAGTGGGGCCAAGGTCAGGAATGCAGATTTGGAGAGACCCAGGGTGGGGAGGGCGTTCGTTCCTGCAGCTTTAAAGAGAACCGTGCCTTTGAGAGTCAGATCAAGCTCAATTTTTATTTTTTAATTTATTTTTTCCTTTTTATTATTTATTTATTTATTTTTAAAGATTTTATTTATTTACTTGAGAGAGAGAATGAGATAGAGAGAGCATGAGAGTGGGGAGGGTCAGAGGGAGAAGCAGACTCCCCGCTGAGCAGGGAGCCCGATGCGGGACTCGATCCCGGGACTCCAGGATCATGACCTGAGCTGAAGGCAGTCGCTTAACCAACTGAGCCACCCAGGCGCCCTTCCTTTTTATTTTTAAGTAATCTCTACACCCAACGTGGGCCTCGAACTCACCACCCCGAGATCAATTGCATGCTCTACCAACTGAGCCAGTTAGGCACCCCAAGCTTGATTTTTATTCCAATGCAGCAAATATTTATTACTATTGTTACACTATTAGTAAGTCGTGTGTTAACAACACATGTGAGGGGTGCCTGGGTGGCTTAGTTGTTAAGCGTCTGCCTTCGGCTCAGGTCATGATCCCAGGGTCCTGGGATCGAGCCCCGCATCGGGCTCCCTGCTTGGCGGGAAGCCTGCTTCTCCCTCTCCCACTCCCCCTGCTTGTGTTCCCTCTCTCGCTGTGTCTCTCTCTGTCAAATAAATAAATAAAATCTTAAAAAAAAAACCCAAAAAACAAACACATGTGAATACTATCTCACTTAAATCTTACAACGGAAACATTTATTTCTGTGTATTAAGGCTATTATTACTATGTCTTAAGGCTATAAGGCTATGTATTAAGGCATAATATCAAAACAGAATTGAGTGAACCCTGCTGGCAAGTGGGAACACTCGGGACATCTCCACTTGCTCCTTGTTCTGCTTCAGCCAGAAGTTGTGATTTTACCCAGAAGAATATTTGGGAATTCGCTACATCAGCATTTGCTTCTGGTCTTTATTGCAGACAAGCTCATTGGGTTCTCCTATTTTATTGTGCATTACAGTTCACGTGTCATGTTCAAAATACAAAACCACATATTTGTAACTTTAAGGGAAAATAAAAGATTTTCAGTAGTAATGTTGACTACACAACAAATTTTGAGATGGCTTCAGAATGTAACCGCCATGTAGAATGTGACTCCCTAGTAATATATATTTTTTTCTTTTTACCAGGCCGACTAGAAGATCAATATATAATTAGATTTATCAAAGAAAAGGTGAAATCTATGCCTTGCAGGAATCAAGGTTATATTTTGGATGGATTCCCAAAGACCTATGATCAAGCTAAAGACCTGTTCAATCGTAAGTTCGAGTGTTCCCCTTATTTATTTATTTTTTTTGGTAAGCTTTTCTTTCTTTATGTAAACTCTACCCCCAACGTGGAGCTTGAACTCACAACCTTGAGATAAGAGCCACATGCTCTGTGGACTGAGCCAGCCAGACACCCCTCCTTCATTTGAGTGCTTACATTCAGGTAAGTTGCAACGTATCATAGTAATAGTCACTCAGTTAAAATTTAAAAATCAGAGAGACTGTGTCTAAAATACAGGCTTTTCTATTATTGGTTAGTTTTCTAGTTAACTTCTAGTTAAAATATTTTAATTTTTTGCCAAGTTGTCCATAGTGACAGCACGTAATAAACACAACAATGTATATTTTGTTTTATTAGAAGAAGATGAGGAGGAAGAAGAAGAAGTCAGAGGCAAAATGTTTCCCTTTGATAAACTAATCATACCTGGTAAGTTTAAAATATTTCTTGAAGGTCATATTTAGAGGAATGCCATTTTGCACCCAAACCATCTTTTCGATGTCAATAAAGCAGATCTCTCTCCCCTTCTCTCTTGCTTTCTCTCTCTCTCTCTCTCTTCTTTTTTTAGGGAAAAAGGGAAAACGATACCCTTAAACATAAACTCTCAAGCTAGGGAATGTATGGGGGGGCAGCAATCAGGAATACAGGAATACTAAGTTCTGAAATGGACAGAAGTCTCTTTGAGAATGTTCATTTCTGCTGCTCCCTCCGGGAACAAAGCACTGGGTGGCCAGTCCCCTGATGCCTTGACTTCTGAGTCAGTTGGCAAGATGACCAGGGACTGGACCCTTCCTACCATTTTAGATGCTAGCCATGCCATCATCTTTCCCATCTTTCCCAAATCCAGGGTTGAGACTGGGCAGGTGCAGAGCGTCTCGGTTCACTGTCCATGAAAATACACAGTCGTTGCACGATGTCCTCTTGGAAGTAAAGCATAAACAACGTATTCCACGAAAAAGGATTTGCTGAGTACCCGGCAGGCATTTCTTGTGACCTTGCCTTGAACTTTTCAAGTTTTTTTTTTTTTTTAATCAATTTGCATGCAGTATCATCATAGGAAACACAAAAACAGCTTTTTTTAGCAACTGAGCCCGATGTCGTAATGGCGGCGGGGGTGGGGGGCTCTGCTCACTTGCGTCAGAGTCCCCGCGGGAGTCAGTTGATGACAGCTTGCCATGAAGCTTCTGGAAGCACTGGGGCTACCAGAAAGCAGTCATCCTCAGGGACAGATATTTACTGTTTGCCTGAGGGCCCTGAAGCCTGGGGCAGGAACTTGCAACAGCAAAGGGGTGGGTTGTCTTGGATTTCCCATGCACGTATGCATTGGGCTTAGAAAAAGTTAAAAAGTTAAAAAGTAAAGTCGATTAACCAGATCTGTCTGGTTTCTGAGAGTTTATCACTTTTGGGCAATACTCATTCATTGCAAACTGCATCGTAAATCCTCATGCTCTCACTGGGGCAGCTCAATGAACCATTTGTCTGTCATGTGCCCAGAACTGCACAAGATAGGAATTCCTTGAGCCTTTGCACGGTCCTGCCAGGCTGGAATTAGTCCCGTTGTTACCTGATCCAGAAGCCAAAGCCCAGGGACTTACCCAAGACCGCTTCCCTGGTATACAGAATTGCTTAAATTCAAACTCGGCCTGCTCTTCTCACTGCCTCCAAAACACAGAATTAATGAAACCCCTTCAGGAAATGGAATCACAAACATGAAACAGTCAACGATTCTTAAGCGTGGTCCCCTGGGCTGCCCTCCCTCTGCTGGATGTGGTCCAAACGGGTCGAACATGTCTTCTACTTGGAATGTTTAGTCTGTTCATAGTCAGTTATCCTCTTTCTTTTTTTTTTTAAAGATTTTATTTATTTATTTGAGAGAGAGAGAGCACATGAGAGGGGGGAGGGTCAGAGGGAGAAGCAGACTCCCTGCCGAGCAGGGAGCCGGATGCCGGACTTGATCCTGGGACTCCAGGATCATGACCTGAGCCGAAGGCAGTCGCTTAACCAACTGAGCCACCCAGGCGCCCAGTTATCCTCTTTCTGGAAATTGTCATTATTTTCTGTCTTCCTGGAAGAAATGAGAGGATTGTCTCATTTGTCCCCGGGGGATTTGAGTACAGGGAGGTGGCTGAGTGAGAGGCCAATGCCATTGAAAGCAGGGTCCCCAGAGCAGGGGGTATGCCACACCATGCTGGGTCGCGTGGGGAAGTGTGCGAGGCTTGGTCAGGAAGCAGGAAGCATCGAGGGGAAGGCTAAGCCATTGCCTTAACTGGGGTTTCTGTGGGAAAGGCAAGGCAGGGCCGAGTAAACAGCTTTTTTTTTTAGAGGATTGGCTAGTTTGAGCCAGTCCCAGTGGGTTTTGCTCTCTAGTTCCCTGGTACCTGGCTCTGGGATGATTTAAGGCAGGGAAATATTGGCTTGGTGTGTGAGAGTTATAAAAAGGGGGTGGTCATCTTGTATATGAGGGCCATGCTCCTGAGTAAGTGGTTGACTATCTTTAGGAATTAGCTAGTCCTGAAAGGGGCAGTGTCTCTCTAGGTGTGTAACGCCCTCCGGAGATGTCAAAACATCGTAAGATACAGAAAATAATAAATCTGATTAATACAAGTCTCCGTGCTTGATTTGAATGATAACGCATTTGAATCTGTGGTGACCCAGTCATAGGTGGTATTATCTCTCCTTGATAAATTGTTGCTTTTTACAACTGCTGCTAGCCTGCATCCAGTTCAGTTCTTTTCAGATCTCGTTGTTGAAGCAGACAAGTTTAAAGTCATACCTGCTTGGGGCTCCTGGCTGAGTCGCCACTCTTCATCTCAGGGTCATGAGTTTGATCCCCATATCGGACGTGGAGCCTACTTAAAAAAGTGAAAGTAAATAAATAAATAAATACAGTTGTATCTGCTTGATGACTATGGAAAAAATGTTTTAAAACACAGATTTTCAGGGGCGCCTGGGTGGCTCAGTTGGTTGTGTCCAACTCATGATTTTGGCTCAGGTCATGATCTCATGGGTCATGAGATCAAGCCCTGTGTCAGGCTCAGTGGGGAGTCTGCTTGAGATTATCTCTCTCTCTCTCCCTCTGCCCCTCTTCAAATAAATAAATAAATCTAAAAACAAAACAAAACAAAACAAAAAAACAGGGGCACCTGGGTGGCTCAGGCGTTAAGCATCTGCCTTTGGCTCAGGTCTTGATCTCAGGGTCCTGGGATCAAGCTCCGCATCCGACTCTCTGCTCAGCGGGAAGCCTGCTTCTCCCTCTTCCACTCCCCCTGCTTGTGTTCCCTCTCTCGCTGTCTCTCTCTCTGTCAAATAAATAAACAAAATCTTGTTTATTTATTTGACAGAGGCGCCCCTCAACCTTTATTTTCACTGTTAACACACGAAGCAGATGGTATTCAATGGACATCCACCTGCCCCTTAGGCACACTCTGCTCTGGGCTCTGCTCTGTACACTTACTTTTCTCACTCACTCAAGAAATCTTATTAGAATGCGTTTGAGTGAGGGCGCCTGGGTGGCTCAGTTGGTTAAGCAACTGCCTTCGGCTCAGGTCATGATCCTGGAGTCCCGGGATCGAGTCCCATATCGGGCTCCTTGCTTAGCAGGGGGTCTGCTTCTCCCTCTGATCCTCCCCCCTCTCATGTGCTCTCTCTCTCTCTCATTCTCTCTCTCAAATAAATAAATAAATAAATCTTAAAAAAAAAAATAATGCGTTCTAGTGAAAATGGCATTATTATGTGGCAAAGCAAGAGAATTTAATTAATTAATTAATCTTTAAATGTCCCAATAAAACTTGATTTACAAAATCAGATGATGGGCCGGATTTAGCCCACAGGGAACCAATACAATTTTAGGATAAAAATTAAACCATTTCCATGCTTTGCCAAACTCTTACAGGTAGCAAGTTATTTGCAATACACCTGGTTAATGATCTGGGCACCCTTGTATTCTGACCGTGTTGAGAACCTCTGAGAATAGTAACTCACGTAGAAAGTCTATTTCACTGATGTGCACTTTAACCATTCATTCCCTCAACAAATATCTACTGAACTTATACAAGAAGCTGGAGAAACAGCTGCTTTCAGTTTAAAAGAAAATCACAGGTTGGGGGCGCCTGGGTGGCTCAGTCATTAAGCATCTGCCTTCGGCTCAGGTCATAGGGATCGAGCCCCACGTCGGGCTCCCTGCTCAGCGGGGAGCCTGCTTCTCCCTCTGCCTGCCGCTCCCCCTGCTTGTGCTCGTGCTCTCTCTCTGTCAAATAAATAAATAAAACCTTTTAAAAAAAGAAAAAGAAAAAGAAAATCACAGGTGGGTGAAATGATCCCCATCACTAATCTGATCCCCGTGTCCAACATCAGATAAGCGCTCTGTTGAATGGAAGGCAGATGCTTCCTAGCCAATTGCATTAAGTTAGAAGAGAGCTGGATCCTTGGGAAATTAAAATCCCAAGGGGAGTCCTTGTTTTTATTAATTTGCCAAATTGGCCATCAGTTTGCTCAGCCGCTAGTCTCTTTGGGAGCCCGTGATGCCGTGCTGGGAAAAGGGCGAAGTGGGGGTTGACTGGGAGGCGGTCGATGCCACAGGGTTATCAGAGATGTGCTAATTCCAATTTCTGCTGCTTTTTGTTATCAGATTTGTTTTTATTCAATTAGATTTGCTACTATTTGCTATTTGGTATTAGATTTGCTATTCTTTTTGTCATTAGAGATTTGCTATTTCTAATTTCTGCTGCTTTTTTTAAAAGGGAAGGAAGGAAAGAAGGAAAAAATAGAAAAATAACAGATCTCACAAAATACCAGCTGGTTGGGCCTCATCAGGTAGTGTCTGGAAATGTCAGTGATTTGTATCTATGTATCTTCCATGAGAGGCAGCAAGGAGGCCAGTCTGTCATGAGGTCTAGCCTGGTAACTGGACATTTCGGGTTAAGCACTGGTCCAGCCACCAGCACCTGCTAGTTTGCTCCTTCATCCTTGGGTTAACTCAGGAGCCTCTCTCTCTTTCCCCAGAGTTCGTTTGTGTGCTGGACGCCTCGGATGAGTTCCTGAAGGAGCGGGTGATGAACCTTCCTGAGAGCATTGTGGTAGGGACCCATTACAGCCAGGACCGCTTCCTCCGGGCTCTGAGTAACTACCGGGACCTCAATACTGAAGATGAGACTGTCATCAACTATTTCGATGAGATTGAAATCCACCCAATACATATTGGTATGAAACGAGCTCAGGACTAAGGTGAATGTGAAGAACCATTGCCAAGTGTCAGGACTCCCCCCCCAACCCAAGGCACCCCAGCTGCCTGCCTGTCATAGGGCTGGGGGCAGGGACGGGGAAGCAGAGCTATGTCCCTGGGGCCAGGAGGTCACAGGATAAACAGGGGAGTGCTCCTCCTGGGGAGTCCTTCTACTTGAGGATTTGGTGTGTGTGTTGGGGGGCGTGTTGGGTATTGTTATATGAAAACATACACATATATTATGAAATCGAATACCAAATTGGCATTTTTTTTTAAAGGACACTTCAAAGATATGTATATTTGCTGCTGGCTGCTTTGGGTCACTCTCCCAGCTTCCTCGGGGGCAGCGTTTTGTCTCTGTAGCATTGCAGGGCCCTGGTGTTCTTCATGGAGCCCCTCCTGGCCTTTATCCCGGCCATCTGACCCCTCCACTGCTACTCAGAAGGCAGATTGTTCTTCATTGCATTCCTCTTTGTTCCCAGTAAACACTGAACTCAGATCTTAGCACCCAGCAGGTACTCAGTAAATAGGAGCTGTCATCAACCTCACGGTGGTGTCATTGTTCCTGCCTCCAAATCTCCGCTGTCATAAATGTTTCTACTCCCCTGGGCTTCGGTGAACCACTAAACTTCCTTTCTGGCTTCCTGGATCTTGACATTTCTTCCTCCCCTGGGTTTGGTGAGAACCCCCTAGCCTGGTGGAAGCTTAGTGGCCAGGCCAAACCCCTGAGGCTCTCTCAGGGTCTCTCTTTGCCCTCAAGAGCCAGATGGGACAGCACCTGGACCCTGGAGAGCTGGGAGGGGTGGCGCCAAGGAACGACGTCCGCATGAGGCAGGAGAGCTGATTTCGGGGCTGGTTCTGCTCATTTGTGTTTTCATCCATGAAATGGAAAAATAACCCCTGGCTTATAGAGTTGTTCCAAATGCAGAGATAATAGGAAGTGTCTGGAGTACCGGGAAGTTCAACATGTGGTAACTAATTTTGTTATTACTAAGGCATAACATAGCGTGCTATTAAGCAATAAAAAGATAATGCAATTTATAAATCTACAAAATCCATTTGGCACCTGCGGAAACAACTGGATTTTGTCCTCATCCGGACGTGTCTGTACACATTGGACCCACGTTTTCCATGTAAAACCTTAGGATTTGAATCTACTTATGGAAAGTAGCTCACCCTATTTGATTAGAGAACTGGGAGAGAACAGTGAGAAAATTGCACAAAAACAGTGATTGCCATCTTTTCAGTAAAGCTCAAAAAGGTATTTATGGAAAAATCAGGAGAGCCCCGGGAAGAAATGTTGAGAAAGACAGAAATGAGGGGGAGGAGTGGATGAGTGGTCATTGCGTGTCTCATTCTGTGCCCGTCACATTTGGCCTCATCTCTACCCCGGATAAGCAGGAGATGACGTAAAAGGGAGGGGAGAAATGGATCTTAGGGATGGGTGTGGGAGAGCGGTCAAGGTCAGGAATGCAGACCAGCCTCAGAAGGATCAGGAATGGGGCTGGCACCTACATTTTCTCTCTGCACCTTCGGACTCCTCTTCTCTCTTGGAGTCTCTTTCTTTCCAGCTCTTTGGACCATCATTTCTCCTCCATCACCCACATGGTGAACTGGGGCCGCCCCACAACCCAGGAGTTTCTACCCTGGGAGCCAAGCCTAGAGCTAGACTTTCCACCCTAATAACACATCCCTAGAAGGGCAAATCCAAAGTCATGGTTTGGGCAGGTTCCCACCCCCAGTCAGCAATTCCCCTGTCCCAGGGTCAGGGCCAAAGTATTGGTTTGGGCAGCACTGTCTCCAAACGTGAGCCTCTTCAAAAGCGTTTCAGAGCACTTTCAAGCACATCAAGTTGTAATTACTCTGTTAGAGAAATTGGGAGAAATACATTTAAATGTCAGGGCACAGGCAACAAGTGGAATATATGAGTTTTGTATTATTTTGGTTTTGTTTGCTTTTTGGGGGCTGGCTTCCTCCCACCAAGTGATACATTGACCCAGTTCTTCCCCTTTTCCCATGCAGAAGCTAGAGGTGCCTCTAGTCTGGGTCAAGGTCATACTGTAGGAACATAGGGAGCGGGCATGGCCATGCTTGTGCCTGGGGCGGGGTGAGAGGAGCCTTACCCCTAGGAAGGTCTGAGGTGCTGAGAACCAAAATCGCCCACTGCACACCCTTCCATGGGGGCACCTTCCAAGGGAGTGGTGTAGAATTTAGTGTTGAGTGACTTTGTGGAGAAACCCATTATTTACCAAGAAGCTGCTGTGGGTTTTTGTTTTGTTTTGTTTTTGGTCTTGATTTTTTTTTTTTTTTTTTAAAGATTTTATTTGACACAGAGACACAGCAAGAGAAGGAACACGAGCAGGGGGAGTGGGAGAGGGAGAAGCAGGCTTCCCGCTGAGCAGGGAGCCCGATGCGGGGCCCGATCCCAGGACCCTGAGATCATGACCTGAGCCAAAGGCAGATGCTTAACGACTGAGCCACCCAGGCACCCCTTGGTCTTGATGTTAACATTAGTCAGATATTCTGGAATTTGGACTTTTCCCGATTCAAGTAGGCTAACTGAAATGGTTTGTTTTTCTTATGAATTGGAAATGTATCCCAGGATCACTGAGTCTAAGATACAGAAAAAAAGAAATGGAGGAAATCCTATCTGGTTTTCAAAGTGCGAACTTCCTTCTGTGGAAACCCCCATAGAAGCATCTTTCTCTGCTTGGATGCTTTCAGGGATGGATAACTCTTTTTTTTTTTTTTTTTTGAGGAGGTCCTTCCGCCCCCCCACCCCAACTCAAAATCAGCGCTGTCAGAGCTCAAAGACTGAGACCCAGTCTTCCAGTCCTGGGACTCCCAGCCACGGCGCTGATATTTGCCAGCGAGCCAAGAAATCCTGAACCGTGCTGGCCACTGGAACACCAGTGCGGTCATTTCCATAACGTACCATGGCACATTTATGGGAACAAAGAATTTTCCGGAATGTGATCTCAGAGTATGTTGCAGAATGTATGTATGTGCTGATCTCCTTCCTCTCTCCTGGTATTTAAAGATGTAGGAAAACTTGAAGACTCTCAGAATAGACTTGCCATCAAACAGCTCATCAAAGAGATCGGGGAGCCTCGAAATTATGGTTTAACGGATGAAGAAAAGGCAGAAGAGGAGCGGAGGGCTGTGGAGGAGCGGCTGGCCAAGGAGGCAATGGACGAAGCAGAACGGGAAGCCAAGGAAGCCGTGGAGTTGGCCGAGAAGATCGCTCGCTGGGAGGAGTGGGTGAGTGAGAGTGTGGATGGGTTCGTGGTGGGGGGTCAAGCCATTTAGGACAGCTGCATTTCCCATCCTGCTTGAAGAGAAATGTCATGGAAATACCCATGCACGTTTTTTGTTTCTTTGTTTTGTCATATGACCATTTCCTAAAAGGTGCCCTTGGTCTTTTGCTTGGGATAAATAATCACGATAACAGTAACTAGCTGTTGCCAGGAGTATTGATAATCCAGATCCCTGTAACTGGGTCCCCTGGTGCCACATGCCAACCTTGGGATTTCCTCTGATTTTCCTCCATTTATCCATCTCACCTGGGTGGTTGGCCTCCTTCACCCTCTCAATCCCCCAAATCATGGAGTCTTACCTATTCTGCTTCCGAAAATCATACTCAGATCCACCCACAGCTCCTCACTTCTGGTCAGGGTCGGAGTTTCTCGCCAGAGTTACGGTGCCTCCTCACTGGTCTCCCCACGGTGCACCTGTCCCTTTCCAGCTTGTTCCCATGCTGCCGCTGGCCGTCCTCCTAACATCCGGATCCATGAGAGCAATTCCCTGTTGAAACGCTTCACAGGCTTGCATCACTGTGAGACCAAAGTCCAAACTCATGATGGGGGCCCTCAAGGTTCTGGCTTGATGCATTTCAACAACCCACCATCTGCGCAACTAACTTCCTCGTCTGCTTTGAGTCTTTCCTAAAAAGTCATCTTTCCAAGGAAGCCTTTCCTGCACACCATATTTAAAATGTCAACCCCATGGGGCGCCTGGGTGGCTCAGTTGGTTAGGCGTCCGCCTTTGGCTCGGGTCATGATCTCGGAGTCCTGGGATCGAGTCCAGCGTTGGGCTCCCTGCTCGGTGGCGAGTCTGCTTCTCCCTCTCGCTTTGTGCTCTCTCCCTCTGTGTTCTCTCTCATTCTTTCTCAAATAAATATATAAAATCTTTAAAAAAAATTAAAAAAAAAATGTCAACCCCTGCTGCTCCCCACCACCTGTCCTATCCCCTTTTATATTTCTCAATTTCCCTCTTTTTGCACTTATTCTCATGGACTATTTATTTTATATATTTATCTTGTTTATTGTCTTTTCTCTGTGCAGAATTTAAATCACAGGAGGACAAGGATTTTTGTCTATGTAGTTCACTACCATACTTCCAATGCCAAGAGCAGCGCTTGGCATGTAATAGACAGTCAACAAGTATTTGTGGAAGGAAGGGGGAGACAAAGGAAGGGTGTCCTTATGCACACATCTTTGGGTGCCTGGTTATCTCCTTAGCACGAATTCCTGAATTTTGTTAGATCAGACTACAGGTGGTTTAATTTTTTTTTTTTAAAGATTTTATTTATTTGCGAGAGAGAATGAGAGAGAGCACAAGAGGGAGGAGGGTCAGAGGGAGAAGCAGACTCCCTGCTGAGCAGGGAGCCCGATGCGGGACTCGATCCCGGGACTCTAGGATCATGACCTGAGCCGAAGGCAGTCGCTCAACTGACTGAGCCACCCAGGCGCCCCAGGTGGTTTAATTTTTGATACATATTTCGAAACTACCTTCTAGCAAGGGTGAAGCAGCTCACAGCTTGTCTACCAGTGGCTTTCCCTTCACTTCCTCTAACCCTGCTTTCTCAGTTTTGCTCACAAAATATCAACCTGATAAACAAAACCCCAACCCACTGCTTTAATGTTCATCTCTCCGGTCAGGCATGTAACAGCTCTTCCTATGTTTCTTAGGTTGCACGTTTTCTCTGCTTGTGTTTGGGCGGTGTGTCCTTTTCTTAGTATTTTGCAAGAACAGCTCCTGATAAGGTAGTGTAGTCATAGAAACAGGAATGGCCTCAGGAGACAAGGGTTTCCCAAGCTGTGTTGCTGGCGACCAAGTCTTGCTCCTTCTCCTTGTAAGTTTGTGGCTCTGTGCCTCCGTTTCTCCATCTGTAAAAGGAGGATGATGATAGTACCTGCTTCATACAGCGACGGGGGAGAGCGATGGGACGGGGGTGATGAGTCAGTATGTGCATAGATATTTGGTCAGTGCCTGGCAAACTGTGTGCATCTCGTGATAGCCTAGCTTTTTAATAATCTGTTGCAAATAGTTTTTCTCAAACTCATCAGTTATCTTTTGGCAGCACTTAATGGTGTCTCTTCTGGACATAAAGAAGTTTTATGGTGGTATGTAGTCAAATCCATCAATCCGTTTCCCATGTTGATTTCTGGGTTTGCTGTCTTGCTGGGAAAGACTTTTTTCGAACAAATAATACCGGTTAGGACTCTTTATCTTGCAAGTGACAGAAAAGCAAACTCCAAATGGCTTAGAAATAAAGAAAACTTATGGATTCACATCAAAGTTCAGGGGGGTAGGGCTGGCTTCAGGCAAGGCTTGATATAGTGGCTCAGATGGTGTTACCAAGGACCTGGGGTCCCTATCTCTGCTCTGCCCTCCACATTGGCATCATCCTTAGGTTCTACCTGATAAAAGTGCTTATCCTTTACTAACATCCAGAGCCGGGAGGTGGGCTGGACTGATGGGCTTAAGTCCCACCTAAACCACCAGGCTAAGAAGGGAGACTTCTCAAAGGAAATCTGGAAATTACTATTCCCAAGAGAGGAGGGCCCATATGCTCAGCAAGGAATAACACGCGGCCACCAGATGAATGAATACCTTCTAGACTTTCTATTAGCACTTCTGTGATTCTTTCCTTTGTTCCTTCCTTCTCATCCTCCCACTCTTACTTTCTTCCTCTGGACAGCTAAAAGTTATCTTGATTTAAGAAGTGAGTTTGGGATCCAGTTTAATATTTTCTAGATTACTAAACAGTTGTTATAACACCATTTACATCTTTTGTCTGCTGTTTGCAATGCCATCTTTATCATAACGTGGTGACCACGTACAGCGGTATCTGGTTCTAATGCACTCTGCAGTGAATCGGGTGAAAGTGTTCTCCCCTTTCTGTCTGTTTACCCCAACCCCCAAATGTTCTATTTGTAGAATAAACGACTAGAGGAAGTGAAAAGAGAAGAAAGAGAATTACTAGAGGCCCAGTCTATTCCCCTGAGAAACTATTTAATGACCCACGTTATGCCAACACTGATGGAGGGGCTGAATGAGTGTTGTAAGGTCAGACCGGATGATCCCGTTGATTTTCTGGTAAGAGATTTTTTTAAAATATCAATTTGAAAATAAAAGATGCCTGAATCTAAACAGAAAGCTAGTTGAGATAGAGAAACTGTGTGTCTGGTTATTTGGGAAATAGCCTCTAAGACCTTCACAGTTTATAGTAAGATTTTCTTACTCATTTGAAAGTAAAGATTTATGGGGGCGCCTGGGTGGTTCAGTTGTTAAGCGTCTGCCTTCGGCTCAGGTCATGATCCCAGGGTCCTGGGATCGAGCCCCCGCATCGGGCTCCCTGCTCCGCAGGAAGCCTGCTTCTCCCTCTCCCACTCCCCCTGCTTGTGTTCCCTTTCTCGCTGTCTCTCTCTCTCTGTCAAATAAATAAAATCTTAAAAAAAAAAAGTAAAGATTTATGTACTTTTATTATTTTATTTTATTTTATTTATTTATTTGACAGAGAGAGAGGAGCAGGGAGCCCGATGCGGGGCTCGATCCCAGGACCCTGGGATCATGACCTGAGCCCAAGGCAGACACTTAACCAACTGAACCACCCAGGTGCCTGTAAATAAATAAAAATCTTAAAAAAAAAAAAAAAGTAAAGATTTATGTACTTTTATTTTTGAATTATTAACATTAGTAGTAGTGTCTTCTAAATTGACTTGTCTTTTTTTCCTTTCTTTCAATTATAGGCAGAGTATCTCTTCAAGAACAATCCTGAAATGCAGTGAAACTTTCAAGATCGTGTGTGATATACCTTTACAGAGATAGAGATGAGGTTAACAGTGTAATTTGAAAATTTGCTTGAAAAAAAAGTTTTTCCAGTTTTGGGGAAATTCTTTGTCTTCCCCACAGGCAAATACTTTGTTATTTTTTCTTAATACTTTGTAATTTTTTTTTGCAAATACTTTATTAGGTAGAGTCATTATAAAAAGCTGATGGCAATGAGTGACTTCATTAAAGAACTTTATTTGAAAGGTAAATTGATAAAGTATCTGTGCCATAAACTATGGTTCATGGGACAGATATTGATTTAATGTTTCATTCTTAGTCAAAGTGTTCTGTGCACTTGGATTTACAGTAATTTATAGCATGAAGAAAATCAGACTATATATGATTTGAACACGTAGGCTAATGACTTTACACAGTCTGCTATTGCCATGTGCCAATGGGATCAGAAAGAAAGGAAAATGGTTTATGCTTTGTTGACTCACACTGAGTCAGATGTCATTGGCTTCCACTAAGTTAAGTTTTGAGTTCAGGGTCAGTACCTTAAGCGATGAGTCAGAGAGGGAATTGTAAAACTTTTGGTAGAAAAAAATCCCGTAACAAAATGAATGATCCTAAATATTTGGGATAACTAAAAGTTGAATATTTTCAACAAACTTTACAATATAGGCGTAAGCCATCAATCTCTATGGTCTTTCCTAGCTTGAAAAATCCCATCATTTCTAGAATTACACTGAATGAGAAATTACCCTGAGTGAAAAATATATTAAAATCTATTCCATCTCTTTAAATAATGTAATCTGAATATAACTGCACTGTTTTTTTTTATTATTATGGTAAAATACGTACAACATAACATTTACCATTGTGACCATCTTAAAGTGTAAAAGTCAGTGACAATAAGGGCATTCCCTGTGTTTGTTCCATGAAAGGGAGTTAAATGCAAAACGACCTCCGAAGGCTGAGGCGGCAGGAAGACCAGAGAAAAAGGCTGACAAATCCAGCTTGACAAGAAATGGTTTATTAAGGAGACTTATGAACAGAAGTGTGTCTCAGGGTAGCCCCAAGACGAGTAGATCCCCGAAACCCCACCCCCCACCCTTAAGAGCTGCTTTTATTGCTCTAGGGGCTGGGAATCCACCCAATGGGAGAATAAGGTGTGTGTTGAGGCAGCTGGGTGGCTCAGTCAGTTGAGCATCTGACTCTTTGATTGCGGCTCAGGTCATGATCTCAGGGTTGTGAGATCGAGCTCCGCTGGGTGTGCAGCCTGCTTGAGATTCTCTCCCTCTCTCTTCGCCCCCTCCCCCTTTAAAACAACAATAACAGAAAGAATAGGTCCTAATTCCAGGGCACATCAAGGACCTTATGCCCTAAAGGTACACGTAAGGGTGTGGTTAAACAAAAGGAAAGAATGTGAGGGAAGGACTGAGCTTGAGAAGGCTTCAGGTCACAGAGCTGTCCGCCTGTCAGCAGTCAGCCTTTGCCCAAGATGGCATTAGTCTGGTTCACACAGTGCGGGATACTCATCACCACTACCTAGTTTTAGAACCTTCCCATCACCCAGATGGAAATCCTGTCCCCCATACTATCCCTTCAACCCAGCTCCTGGCAACCACCAATCTGCTTCCTGTCTCTACGGATTTGTCTCTTCTGGATATTTACATAAACAGAATCACACAATATGTGGCCTTTTGTGTCTTCTTTCACTAGCATGTTTTTAAGGTTCATGCCGTAGCGTGTTATCAGGGCTTCATTCCTTTTTGTGGCTGAATAATATCTCACCACGTGCTGTTTAACCATTCATTCGCTGATGGACCATTTGGGTCGTTTCCACCTTTTAGATACTGTGAATAATGCTGCTATGAACATTTGTGTACAGGTTCTTGTTTGAACAGCTGGTGTCAATTTTGGGCGGCGGATACCCAGGAGCGGAATTGCTGTCACTCAGTAGTTCTATGTTTAACTTGCTGAGGAACTGCCAAACCTCTCCGCAGTAGCTGCATCATTTTCCACTCCCACCAGCAATGCATGAGGATTCCAATTTCTCTGCATCCTTACAAATGCTTGTTAATGTGTGTGTGTGTGTGAGAGAGAGAGAGAGAGAGAGAGAGATGCTAATGGGTCTGAAGTGGTGTCACACTGTGACTAAGCATGTTTTCATATGCTTGCTGGCCATTTGTATATCTTCTTTGGAGAAATGTACATTCAAGTCCTTTGCTCTCTTTGTGTTTTTGCTACTGAACTGTAAGAGTTTTTAATATATTCTGCATGTAAGACCCTTTTCAGATATATGATTTGCAAATATTTTTCCCTATTCCATGGCTTGTCTTTTCACTCTCTTGATGGGTGCCCCTGAATGCAAAAAAGCTCTTAATTTTGATGACATCCAATTTACCTATTTTTTCTTTTGCTTCCCTGCACTACTCTTGACCCTTACATTTTAATCAAAAACACGTAAATAAAGAGAACACATCTTCAAGCTTGAAGTCATTAGCCTTTATAATAGTTACCTTTCATGCCTTCACGTTGGTTACATTTCATGAACTTGCTTCTTAGCTCACTGAGAAAACCCATGCAATCAAAAGAGCCATTCTATCCTCCTCCTGCAAACTAGCTCTGTTTCCCTTCCGTGCTTCCATCTGAGACCAACTCCTGACTTGTGCCCTGGATGCCAGCCGGTCTCACATCATCAGATGCTGCTCCTAGAACTGTCTCTTCTCTCTCACAGCCTGATTTCTCCTTCTGTTCTGGATCATCACCCTTTGCTTCCAACTTAATGAATTAGCTCCTACACTTCCAAACGAAACAAGACAAAAATGGATTAAAATGCAAAAACCTTCCTAGCCCTCTGCATTCTCCTCCAGCCATGGCCCCAATATCCTGTTCCTCTTTAGATCAAGGTTACCAGTGACCTTCAAATCCAACTGTGAAATTTTACTTGACCTCTCTGAGCATTTTATCATTTGCTCTTTGAAATCCTCTTTTCCCTCCACCTGAATGTCTAAAGCATGGCCAATCCCATTCCTAAGCACACTCGCCCCTCCCCTCCACTGCTGTTCCCCCATGCCCCCATCTAAGGGATTGGCAAATCCATCCTTCCAGTTGTTCAGGCCCCAAACCTGGTGTCACCTTTGACTCTTTTTTTCCTTATCCACACTCAGTTCTCCAGTGCATCATATGGGCCCAACTTGTCTGCTTGCTTCTCACCCCTCAGACACTACTGTCCTGGCCCAAGACACCACCATCTCCCACGTGGATCGAGGCTGTCACCTGTCCCTGGGCTGCTCCTTCCTGTCACTGCTCTTAACATATCAGCAGGGGGATCTTTTTCAAACAGATGTCAGATCCCCTCAAAGCCCTCCAAGGCCTTGCCCTTTCATGTAGGGTGGAAGGCAAAGTCCTGACCTAGCCTACGAGGCCCGATATAGTCTGACCCCAAATGACCTCCCTGCCCCCTCACTTCGCTCTTCATTGCCAAGCGCAGTCTGCTTTGGGGCCTTTGCCTGGAATCTTCGGCCCACATGTATCCCTGTGGCTCATTCTCACTTCATCCTTGGCTTGGATCAAATATGTCCTCAAAGGGGCCTCCTCAGACCATCCTCTTGATGACATTCCACTCTGTTCCTTTTCTCTGCTTGCACTGACATCATTTTATAAGCCTATGAGTTTATTGTATCTTTCCCCCCACTAAAATGGAAGCACCAGAGGGGTGGGGATTTTGTTTTTTTCTGTATCTCTAGAGATGAAGAAGGTACATAGCACACTGTAGAGATGTATAAATATTAGTGAATGAAAGCTATTTAGCTGAAATTTTGTTATTTATTTTATATAACTAATTCAGATCTCCAGTCCTTTGACAAAGTCCATAATACACATTTCCATAGGCTGTGATGGGATACTTGAGTAACTCTGAGGGTCACTAAGAGGCTTTACTAAGTGGCACTGATTTTGGCGAATTCATGTAGAGTCCAGCCCTCTGCCATGCAAGTTAAGAAGAGCGACCTCAGCCATGTCTTCGGTCAGGCAGGACCCTGAGATGCTGACTTGTCTTAACTAACCTCCTAGGAGACCAGGAGAGAAGACAGAGTACTGATTGGACTTACAATGAGACACAGGATTGTTGAGCGGGAGGTTACTTGCACCCATTTCACCAGCACATTCTCGTCCTAGAAGCAGGTTATCTACTTTGAGTAGCCGGATGATCACAAGTGCTTGGGGAACGCAAAACCACGACAAGGCGTTGGCTTCCGCTAGCTTGCTCTGTCTTCCCCGACCCCCTCCTCCCGCCCCAACATACCTGTCCTGTGTTCTGGTTCTTCCTGACAAGGTGCACTTGCCTAGGCTTTTGGGTGGGCGGTGAGTTTTTACCTCCATGACTCCCCTTGACACATTCTCTGTCCTGGCCCAAGACACCACCATCTTCCACCTGGATTGCGGCTGTCACCTGTCCCTGGGCTGCTCCTTCTGCGATGGCGCTTATCATATCAGCAGGGGGATCTCTTTTTTTCAAACAGATGTCAGATCCCCTCAAAGCTCTCCAAGGCCTTGCCATCTCATATAGGGTGGAAGACAAAGTCCTGACCTAGTCCTGACCAAAGACCTGACACCTGGCTGGCTCAGTCCAAACAATGTGTGACTCTTGATCTTGGGGTCATGAGTTTGAGCCCCATGCTGGGTATAGAGATTACTTAGATAAATATTTTTAAAAAAGAGTAAAAGCCAAGCTTCAGAATTGGGAAGGTATTTACTTACAATGGATATACATAGATATGCACAGATATACAGTAGATAAATGACAGAGGACCTGTACTCAGAATATGTTAAAAATTCCTCCAAGTCAGTAAGACTGACAGTCCCAATTTTTAAATTTTCTGACAATCCAATTTAAAAATAGGACGAAGACGTGAGAAACCACTTCATAAAAGAGGATACCCAAATGACCAATTAGCATATTAACAAGTGTTCAAAGGCAGTGATCATCAGAGAAATGCAAATGAAAACTGCAGGGGGATTCCAGCACAATGCTGCCAGATGGCGCAAATTACATGGGACTGTTTACATCAAGTGCTGGGGAGGATGTGGAGCAACTGGAACACACATGTATTACTGGTGGGACTACAGATTGGTACTATTCCTGTGATAACCTTTGGGAGTACTTACTAAAGCTAAGTATGGGTATACACATGATCCAGCAATTCCACTCTTGGGTCTATGCCCAAGAGGGATGAGTGCTTAAGTCTACAAAAAGGCATGTACAAGAATATTCAGAGCAATATTACTCATAAAAGCCCCGAACTGGGAAAAAACCCAAATGTCCATCAATAGGAGAAAGATATACTGTGATATTTACAGTAGGAGAAAGATACAGTGATAGTAGAGAATAGTACACAGCAATGAAAAAAAATGAACTGTCACTCCCACAACAAAGTCTCATATAGTGTTGAGTGAAAGAAGTTTTTACATACAAGGGTGAATAGTGTATGATTCCATGTGTATGAAGCTGAAAAACCGATATAACCGGTCTATAGTGACAGAGGTCAAAATAGGGGTTACGTGGCAGTGGTGGTGGTAATGACAGATGCTTATTCACTGGGAGGGAGTGTGCTGGGATACTGAACATGTTCTCTGTCTTGATTCAAGTACTAGTTACATGAGGGTGTGCAGAGGATAAAAATCCATACAGCTCAATAGGCAGTATTATGGGGGGGGAGGGTAAGCACAAAGGCCTTCATGCTTGAACACGTTACTGTTTAATTGTACTTTAATAATCTTTTAAAAAGGAACTGCTATTCTACCTTAAAAAAATGAAATACACCATGTACCCTAAACTAAAAACAAAACAACTCCTTAAAATGTGGACCTGTTCATAGCCAGAGAGTTCCTGAGATCCACTTTGGGAAAGAAAAATACCATTTGAATTCCCATTAAGAAAAATTAGTCTTTTATGTTAAAAAATGGAAATTAATCAAAATGCCATTCAGATTCTTTACTTAGAGTATTTTAGGGTATGACACAGTATTAGGTGTTAGATACAAAGTCAGTTTGGTTGAGAAGGAAGGCAGACTCTGCAATGGCTCCCAGTGATCTCTGCCTGATGGTATTCATGCCTTTTCAGTGTGGGTGGAACTCTGTGATTGGCTTCTATCCAATGGAATTCGGCAAATCTTAGGTTACCTAAGACTGTATGAGGTCACGCTAGCAGAATCTTTTGCCTTCTGTGCTTAAATACTTTGATGAAGCCAGCTGCTCTGTTGGAGAGACCCACATGGCTAAGAACTGAGAGGGCCCTTGGCAACCAGCCAGCAAGACACTGATACCTTCAATGCAAAAGCTCTGAAGACCTGAATCTTGCCAACAAATGTGTGTGGAAGTTAAGTCCTTCCATAGTCGAGCCCTCAGATGAGACTCCCTCTTCCCCCAGGCCACCATGAATGTAGCTTTGCTAGAGGCCCTGAATTGGAGGACCCAGCTAAACCGTGTCCAAATTCCTGACGCCCCAGAAACTGTTAAATAATGCGTTTTTTTGTTTTTTGAAATGTGTTTTAAATAGTTTGAAATTTGTGGCACATTGTTACTAGCACTAAATAACTAGTATCACTGAATATGCATCATTATTTTCTAGGAGTTAGCAACCTGAGATGATCATTGTTATGGACTGAATGTTTAAAGGTCCCAAAATTCGTATGTTGAAGTACTAACCCCCTCCATGTGACTGTATCTGGAGATGGGGCCTCTAAGGAAGTAATTAAGGTTAAGTGGAGTCCTAAGGGTGGGGGCCATGCTCCAGTAGGATTAGTCTCCTTA